ATAGAGATTTGGTCCGTGACCAAACTGACCTGGAGATATCTGGAGCGTTCGGGCCGCGTGACCAGACTGAGCCGGAGCTCCCGGTAGGCTTCGGGGGGAGAAGACTGTGCCGTTGAGCCTGTGATACAGTAGCTCTGGTGTCCGTATGTGGCAAAACTGGCGTACTTGTGCTGGCACTTGTGCTGGCACTTGTGCTGGCACTTGCTGTGTTCGGAGGATTAGCGAAGGAGAAGGAGAGGGAAGAAGAAGAGGAACAAAAGGAAGAAAAGGCACCAAGGGAAGAAGAGGGAAAAAACGAAAGAGGAAAAGAGGAATTGCACCTTTGTTTTAAAATGTGTAGACCCTCGCCTGGCAGGTGGGAGAAAAAAATGGTGATGCGCAGTTTCGGGATTGCATTTGCCCCAAACCAACTTCCGCCCTCGCTTTGGGGAGGCACTAAACTATAGTTTAATACCTTGTCAACCCTCAGGTCTCCAGTTTTTTGTATTTGTGATTCAGTGCATACGTCCACCTTCACATGGTATCAAGAAGTGACCATGAACAATGGGTAAAACACAGCAAAACATGACCCTTGTGAGGAACCACACAAAAGGCAGGCAGAGTGTCACCGTTTGTGGCAGGGAGGGGTCGCGCACACACATTCTCAGTCTTAGGCATCTGGCCGAATCCGTCGTCTTTGATCTGGATTGAAAAATGATGCTGCCTTCCCACTTTCTGTCGTTTGTTATTTAGCCGACAACACCAAAGCGACAAACAACAATACATGCAAATCAAATCAAGTTGTTTGTTCTTTTGGAGGCTTCCGCCACGAAGTTTGTCTGGGATAGTTGTGTAAAACGTGCAATGGGCAGGCAAACATGGAAGATGATTCTAGTAGTTGTTATAGGAGATAGTTGCGGGCCACATGCTGTGGTGGTAGGATGACATGCAGGTGGTATGCAACATGGACAACCCATGAATATGATGAATATGATGAATGATATACATCGCATATGTTGGGCATGTGGCCGTGGTGCCGTGGTATACATTGCATTTGTGCGATGCTTTGTGTAGAGCTACGGCACCTCGGTGTGGGCGAACATGTGTGGAGTGCTGAGCTTGGGCGAGGTTGTGTAGTGACGGCGAAGGTTGTGTCGTTTGCTTGTTCTCCGTCTTTAGATTGAATAAGCGCCCCAAGGGGTCCTCCCGAGTCTGTTGATCGCATGCTATTCATAGGCATGGTCTTCATGCAGAGGCAATTTCGACATTGAATATCACCTTGAAGCCAAAGCACCCCATGGGGCGCTGAAAACTGCGGCCGTGCAGTTTTCGGCGGATTGCACTTGCAGTTCGCTAGTTGCAACTGTGGACACAAAGGAATTTGTATTTCTGAAGCACAATACTACTGCTTAATTAATGGACGTTGCCACAACGCTCCGCAGCATGAATATCGACCACGCGCTACCAGTAGCCAACTTTCCAGGATGCTTTTGCCAGGACGCTGGGAAAGATAACTACAAGGTTTATAGTTTTGTATATGTTATTCTAGAGGGTTTGGCAAAAGTTGTGCAAGCACGTTCCCCAACAGGTTCAGAAATGTCGCAACAAGATGGCTCTGGAAGACCGGGAAGAATACAGAATACTTACCCAGTTCTTCCAAAGGACACAGGAAACTAGGTCTTTCAAGTAAGACCCTGTTTTACTTCTAGAGCCTGTTTTATTCATACCCAGTTTTTGAGGGTCGCTTATCCCAGCCCATGGACCACACAATCTACAGCAGTTTGCAACCATGTCTATTTGAACTATAGTACTATGGCTTCTAAGGGACAAAAAGAATGGCACGTCCAAGCAAAGAACACACTTACTTGACTCAAAGCATATGCTTTATTCCATGGCCATTTTATGGCATTGTCATGCCATGGTTGGCTTGCTTTTTACCCGTGCTAGCTCCAGCAAAACCTGCACTATTCATACCGCACACATTGGAAAAGTGAAACTGGTAAAACCCACAGCCGGCGAAAAGATAAATCCTTGTCAAGTCTCTAAAGCAAAATTATCGGTGAGTTCTGGGGATCCTTTAACTTGCTTGCTGCTATAGGAGCTGTTTCCTTTCCTTTCTCGGGAATATTACTAGCAGGGGCCATTTCGGCTCCAATTAGGACACTTAAAAAGTTAAACCGCTGGCTGAAAAGGAATGAACATGAACCTGAGTCCACGGAGGGTCTGAATCAATTCAAATGCACAACATGCACATCAATCAATTTGATTGCACATTCACAGGTGAAAACATGGAATCCCACTCCAGAATGCCCAAACCAGATTTATCCACATGTGGAAGTTTTTCACAGCCTTTTCACGAGTTTTTCACGGCCTTTTCACGAGATTTTCACGGTCTTTTCACATTTTTGGGTGTTGCGTTGTTCGTGTATTTTTGCGACAGTTTCAGCGGAAACCATGAAGACATGATTTTAAGACCACCAACTACAATTTCAGATCAAGCAAATATCGCACAGGCACGCTTACAGCAGCCATCCTTCAAATCGGTGGCGCACTGACAAGTAGAAGGTAACATTTCCTTTTACTCGTACCTCATCAGAGGTAATGTTAAAGGGGATTAATATGAGAATCACTACACTTCATTTTGTTACACAATCATGATGTTGATGGGAGGTCTGGGCTATTCTTAGATCATTTCAGCCACAATTTGATGATTTGTTTAGTTTGTTGTTTTTTAGTTCGTTTCATTTTGCTAATCCAGCTGAAGTGCGGTTTCAAAAACTTAGATGGGTGAAGTCTGGAAGGGTTTTTGTTCAAGCATGTGATGATGTTCCTAAAATACCACTTACATATCTCATTATATCTCGAGCCCATGATCTCTATACAGTATTTTTTCAGCATGCTGCAGCATGCGGTATTCATACGGATGTTCATGATTGTTGATCAGCCTTTAGATGTTTGATCAGGACATGGCCATACTTGATCCCGAGTCGCAGGGCCTAGTTTTACTTTAAAAGTAAAACTAGGTCGAGGACCTAGTTTAACTAGGCCTTTCGAGAAGGCCTAGTTTAACTAGGTTTAAAAAAACTTGTTCAAGTTCGGCGTTATACCATTATACCTTTAAATTGCTATTCCAACGGTGGACATGATGTTCAACCAGATTGTTTGACAACACGTCGCACCTGGTTTCTTGATGTTTCTTGATGTTTCTTGGCAATGTTATTCTGGCACTGACGGTGAGGCATGAGCCACCCATCCCATATCATCCCATGGGGCCGCGGCATGCCGCGGCTACATGTCCCATGGTGCAGTAATGTCCGGTGTCGCTGGGCCGCACCCGTCCTTTGGTGCATCGTTGCGCTTCGTTGCGCTTCGTTGCGCGTCGTTTCGCATCGTCATCCGATCCCCGGGGACCCGAAATGGGCGCAACGCAAGCGCGTTCTGATACTCGCATGTGTTGAAGTGGAACGCCCCAAAAAAACGTGATTTGTTGAGGAAAAACTCGTAGATCTCATTTAAGAAACGCCATACAGGACAAAGTCGTGGCTAAGACTCCTAATCGAATCTTCTTTGAACGATCTGTAAAAGCAAAGATGGTTTGGGGATGTTTGGGGTGTATAATATCCAGCTGAAACAGTGCTGAAGAAGAGTCACTGGAAAGACCGTGCAAAGGACATTTAAGCGATCTTGCCGCAAGCATCTCTTTGAGGGAACGAAAGTCCGTGTAGACGTCGGGTCGGAAGTCGCAAATTTCACGAGATCGTGTGATCACTGGTGCGCACGAGATCTAAGTCTTGGATATCGATGAATTGGAGGGATTCTGGATGGATTCTGGGCATGGAGATGACATGGAGATAACACGGATGGAAATTTCGGTGGAATATCCTGATGAGATGGGCGATGGGGTATTTTTGGGATGTTTCAACGTGGCTCAACCTTTTTCTTTGGCCGTCGATTGGTTGCTGGTTTAAGGTCACTGCCCCATTTAGCCGTGCCGAGGTCGCCTGAACGCCTCCGCCGCGCCCTTCACATGATGAACGCCGGACATCATCAAGGTGTACGACGATCTACCAAAATGAACGAAGTACTACCGAGTACTACCACATACTACATGAATATATGTACCAGTACTAGATCACCTTCTCCAACTTCACAGCAAAACCATATCCTCTTCACATCTCTTCACATCTCTTAATTCACATCTCTTCACGTCTCTTCACATCTCTTCACGTCTCTTCGCATGTCTTCGCATCTCTTCGCATCTCTTCGCATCTCTTCGCATCTCTTCACATTATCCATCATCCCCCCACCAAACATTTGCCAAACTGTCCAAACCCGCCTTCGACTTTTTTCGGTGTCGCGGTGGATCTGCTTCACCCAGGTGGTGTAGCGCACAGCGTAGCGCGCGCCGCAATGCGCCGCACCCCGAGCAGAGCGGGGGAAAACACCGCTGAAACGCAAAAGACCGCGACTGCCGCGACTGCCGCGACTGCGATCGGAAGGCGCCACGGAGACCTTCTCTCGGGGTGGGGCTTTTTTGTCATGTTCTGACATAAAAGGTCGTGTGGATGTTCAGCATGTTTAGCTTTCATGAATAACTCCGGATCTCCAAAGCACTGAACATCACTGAACACATGTAATTTGAACACATGGATTATTTTGACATATTTTGAGCACATAACTTTTGAGATGAAATACAAATCGAGGCTATGGCTGGCAGCCGTTCTGTAACACGGCTGGTTTGGATGTCGTCGGCTCCCTCCTTTTGTCATCTCGATCTTCATGCAAACTCACACTCTCCCAAACGCATCTCTGTTGCAAAAAAACTTGCGGAAACTCTATAGGTTCATCTGTGACACCTTCCATGGCTGGCGAAATCTGGAAAACCTGCTATGGATGTCAAATTTCATTCAAGTACAGGACAGCTGTATCACGGACTGGGTGTGGATGTTTCGTTCACTTCTCCTCTAAAAGTTGATCATCTTGTTGTGGAGTCTTCGGATGATGTTTTGTTCGGGGTAAAACGGGGACGATTCTGGGAGAGCACTGAGTTTCAGAGTTTCAACTAGAGCCAACCTCATCGTATTGCGACCTCGGTGTTGTGAGACCGAGAGCATAACCATGTATCAAAAAAACCACAGGTTGCGCGTTATTCCATATCCAATTTTCTTCGGCCATGCCCTCTTCCAATGCGTCATCGAGTTGAAACTGCTACAAGACATCTGCAGGTCGTATCTCAAAAATCTATGTGGCTGATGTGATTTTCCTGTGATCCTGATGACGCTGATGATGCTGGTGATGTTGGAAACGATGGTGATGGTGATGATGTAGATGATGTAGATGGCATGTGACTTTTAAGGACCTTGATCTTAAATCCAACAAATCAACGATGGTTTCCCAGTTGATGTCCATCAAAACATATCATCATTCCCTGTTTCTGAGATATCCCGAGCCCGGAGTGTTGGACTGGGTTGCCCCACTCTCCTGGAGCCAACAAACGGTAGGAGCCTTGGTCGCCATAGCCGTTGCTTCGGTTCTTGATGGCGCATTGCCGCAATGACAAGATATGACAAGCTATATGGACGACATGAAAAGCCACCCCGATTTCCTAACCTCCAGCTGCCAGCTTCTTCAAAGACAAGATCAACATCAACAAACGTCAAAAGCTTCTGGTTTCTTCTTGAAGACTTTCCATGTTTGTTGGCCATTGTGTGTCATTGTGTGTCACGTTGTGCAGCTTCTGAGGTGGCAACAAATATCATGTCCAGTACCCAAGGCTTGTTGCTCCTGTAGGTACCGCAACTGCAGTTCTGGATGGTAACGAAGGGCCTAGCAGATCCAGTGACACCGTTTACATCCGTTTACCCGGTAGCAATAGGACAGATGCTGATTGCACTACCTCAATCAGATGCTGATTGCCTGACAAATAAGAGGCTTTGCCCATGAATACCTCTACCATGACATATGAGTTTTGTGGAATAAGCTTTGTCTTTGCTGCATCAAACTTTCTCCGGAGTGGAGCATCTTCGCTCAACTAAAGGGTTAAACAACTTGTGCCAAACTCTTGACGGCTAATTCGGCTAATACTTCACAGGTGAAGTTAGGTGATAACGCAACAAGTGCAATTAGAATCACATGATGAAATAACAAGCCAATTATTGATTCAATCAGCTGGCGCAAATTATGACTGGTCAAGACCCGCGGCGCCTCCAGAAAAATCTCTTCTCTGAGTGCCTTGGTGAGTCTCTAAAATGTCGGAGGTGGAGATTAGAAAGGAAAAACGTGAAAAAACACACGAATTCAAGTCATATATTTCCATAATTTCTGTGACATAAAAACAGTTGGGGAAATTTCAAGCCAAGCTATCCATCATGTAATCTGAGGCCAAATCATCCGTTAAAAAAGATATGGGCGTACTAGTCCAGAATTCATACTTGTAGTCCCCATCCCAACAAAACTTGGGAAATCACAGTGATGGCACCAAATTGGGATCGTTAAGTCAGTAGGTGCTTTGGAGCGTAAATGCAGAAAAACACAAGCCACATTATCCTTTGTGAAGGAATTTTTCGATGCTTCAACCACAACAATCCCCATGTCACGAATGTCCATGTGCCAATCCCTTCTATAGTGCTTTGCAAATTCCATGACTCTGGTTCTACCAGACCTCAGGATGGTGATTGATAGTACAGTGAAGTGTAGATCCCTGTAATTCACCAGTATGACTACCTGTATCAAATGTAATCAGAAAATCTGTAAATCCACAACCAAGAAATCTTCCACCGCATGGGTTTATCCACGGCACCGCCAGGTCGATTTTGCGACGTTCAAACTCGAAGTCGCTTAGGTCGATCATTGGGCACGATGGCTCGTCCTGGAGCAAGGATCGAGTGCAGTTCGTTCGCGTGGATCGCTTCGGTCTTCCCATATCTGGACCATGGCCATACAGTCGAATTCTGTTTCGCAAATGTCCAAAAACATGTGATCTTTGTTGTTTCCGTGTTTGAAATGGAGGGAAAAACATATATGAGTTGGTGAAATCATCGTATCTGACAAATACTTAGCCATATAATGCCATATACCATCACTTCCGTGCATCATCGGATCCATCATATCAGAGATTATCATCTCCAGTGTTTCCCGATTTTTCCCTGCAAAGGAGATGTCCTCAGGGCAGTGCAGCTGCTCCAAGTAGGGCAATTCGAGTGCCTGCTCCACTGTGAAACGCCTCTCTGGGTCGAACTGGAGCCTTGGAAGCGATCGGAAGCGATCGGAAGCGATCGGAAACGATGGGAAACGATGGAGGTGGCTTAGTGGGTGGATGTTGTTCAACTTTATATTGCTGGATGGGCCACTGTGTCCATGATTGGTGGATATGAGTGGGGCATTGCTGTGTGGTGTATTGTGCTGGTTTATTGTGCATTATTGCGGATTTACGGTGTGTGTGTGTGTTGGTTGGTGTTGGTTGGTTGGTTGGTTGGTTGGTTGGTTGGTTGGTTGGTTGGTTGGTTGGTTGGTTGGTTGGTTGGTTGGTTGGTTGGTTGGTTGGGTGGTTGGTGGTTGTGGTTGTGGTTGTTGGTTGTTGGTTGTTGGTTGGTTTTGAGTTGGTTTGGTTTGTTTGGATTGTTGGTTGGTTGGTTGGGTTGGTTGGTTTGTTGGTTGGTTGGGTTTTGTTGTTGGTTGGTTGTGTTTGATTGGTTGGGTGGTTGGTTGTGTGTGTGTGTGTGTTGTGTTTGGTGTTTGTTGTGTGTTTGGTTGTGTGTGTGGTGGTTGGTTGGTGTAGGTGTGGTGTGTTGTGGTGGATGTGTATGTGTGTGTTTGTGGGTGTTGGTGTGTGTTGATGGTGTGATGGTTAGTGTGTTGTGTGTGTTGTGTGTTGTGTGTGTTGTGTGTGTTGTGTGTGTTGTGTGTGTTGTGTGTGTTGTGTGTGTTGTGTGTGTTGTGTGTTGTGTGTGTTGTGTGTTGTGTGTGTGTGTTGGTGTGTGTTGGTGTGTGTTGGTGTTGTGTGTGTGTTGGTGTTGGTGTTGTGTGTGTGTGTGTTGGTGTTGGTGTTGGTGTGTGTGTGTGTGTTGGTGTTGTGTGTGTGTGTGTTGTGTGTTGGTGTTGGTGTTGGTGTTGTGTGTGTGTTGTGTGTGTGTGTGTTGGTGTTGTGTGTGTGTTGGTGTTGGTATTGAGTGTGTGTGTGTGTTGGTGTTGTGTGTGTGTGTTGGTGTTGTGTGTGTGTGTGTTGTGTGTGTGTGTTGGTGTTGTGTGTGTGTTGTTGTTGTTGTTGTTGTTGTTGTTGTTGTTGTTGTTGTTGTTGTTGTTGTTGTTGTTGTTGTTGTTGTTGTTGTTGTTGTTGTTGTTGTTGTTGTTGTTGTTGTTGTTGTGTGTGTTGGTGTTGGTGTTGGTGTTGGTGTTGGTGTTGGTGTTGGTGTTGGTGTTGGTGTTGGTGTTGGTGTTGTGTTGTGTGTGTGCGTGTTGGTGTTGTATGTGTGTTGGTGTTGTGTGTGTGTTGGTGTTGTTTGTTGTTTGTTGTTTGTTGTTTGTTGTTTGTTGTTTTTTGGTTTTGTTTGTGTGTTGGTGTTGTTTGTGTGTTGGTGTTGTTTGTGTGTTGGTGTTGTTTGTGTGTGTGGGTGTGTGGGTGTGTGTGTGGAACATCTGAAGAGATGTAAAACTTCTACCTTGTTTGACGGAATTGCTTTTTCGTATCAGGTTCTTTGCCATTACAATGAACCAGTTTTGAGTATTTTACCAGGCGTTTATCCAATCTCCTTTTCAATTGCAGGGGGCGTGACGGTTGATTTCTAGTCACGCCAACGAAGCTATGGAAATCAACTGGATGGAAGTTTGGACGCAAACTTCTGTACCTGCAGTGTCGCTCCTGTGCGCATTCAAGTCGCAGCTGGGGGACACGTCATACTGTGTTTTCTGTTGTTGTTTAACTGCATTGTCAAGTGCCAACCAAACTTCAACCTGAGGTTTCTCACTTCTGATCATTCAATGGCTCCTGTCAGGTTTAATTGGAGTGTTTTTGCACGTAAGATGCATTCCACATCAGAATTCGCAAAGATGTTTCTGAGCAAGTGTGTGATTCATGCTGGATTCGTCAAGGTGGCATGAACCCTTCGGGGAAAGCTTTTCCAAGCTAAGACTTGACACTTCGAAATGACCTCTGAATTGACACTTTTGAATTAGTAATTCGTCTAAGTAACGTGAAACAGCTAGCCATTTTTCGGTTTTCACCCTGTCCACTGTCGTTTGGTTGAACAGCATGCCGCTGTGCCTGGCTTCACCTTTTCCTTTGTCAGAAATTACACTTTTGAATTAGTAATTCGTTTAAGTAAAGTGAACAGCCGGCCATTTTTCGGTTTTCACCCCGTCGAATGTCGTTTGGTTGAACAACGTGTGGCTGTGCCTGGCTTCACCTTTTCTTTCATGAAAAATCAGGCAGCAGGACATGCTTTAGGTGTGGGGTTTCTTTCCTTTTATGGTCGTTGGTGAGGTTCAATTGTGCACGTAATTCAGGGGTTGACGACGTAAGCCGTTTACAGGGTTGTGACATGAAAGCCGAGGGCCTTTGAGCCTTATCGCGAAAAATGCACGTAATGTGGATGCATCTTATTTCTTCAACTAGTTCCCCATTGGTCCCCTATCTCATGCGCGCTTTCCTCTCTAGGTCAGGTTTGGGCCCTTCGCGTTCCTTGTAGGTTGTGTCAGGCGCTTCTGTCCGCCCCCCCCTCCTCTGGTTGGTTTTTTGGCCCGTCGTCCGTCCGCTTTTTCTTTTTTCTTGCCCTTTCAGGGTTTGCCCGTTTCGGGCCAGGTGTGTTGGTGTTGGTGTTCTCTCTTTTTCCTTTTCCTTTTTGCGTTCCCCTCTTGTGTTCCGGTTAAGTAATTGTCATCTCATTTTCATCGTCATCTCATTTCCATCTTTCCTTCATCTTCACCTTCATCTCATTCGTCGGGGCCTTAAAAAGCCTCGCGGCAGCGGGGCGTGTGTGTGGAACATCTGAAGAGATGTAAAACTTCTACCTTGTTTGACGGAATTGCTTTTTCGTATCAGGTTCTTTGCCATTACAATGAACCAGTTTTGAGTATTTTACCAGGCGTTTATCCAATCTCCTTTTCAATTGCAGGGGGCATGACGGTTGATTTCCTAGTCACGCCAACGAAGCTATGGAAATCAACTGGATGGAAGTTTGGATGCAAACTTCTGTACCTGCAGTGTCGCTCCTGGGCGCATTCAAGTCGCAGCTGGGGGACGTCATATTTAACTGCATTGTCACGTGCCAACCAAACTTCAACCTGAGGTTTCTCACTTCTGATCATTCAATGGCTCTTGTCAGGTTTAATTGGAGTGTTTTTGCACGTAAGATGCATTCCACATCAGAATTCGCAAAGATGTTTCTGAGCAAGTGTGTGTGTGTGTTATTTGTGTGTGTGTGTTGTTTTTTTTTTGTGTGTGTGTTGTTTATTTTGTGTGTGTGTGTGTTGTTTTTGTGTGTGTTGTGTGTGTGTTGTTTTTGGCATGCGGCTGATACGGCGCCCTTGGAAGGTTGCCAATTTTGAGATGTGCCATTTACGATCCCTTGGAAGGATGTATTAACGTTCTTGACGAGCACTTCTTTTACGTTACGGAAGATGCACACGTTGCACATGCTGTCGTATGATCATCAGGGGGGGTGGGAGTGGGGGGTGGGGGGGTGTATTAACGTTCTTGACGAGCACTTCCTTTACGTTACGGAAGATGCGCACGTTGCACATGCTGTCGTATGATCATCAGGGGGGTAAATCATTTTCGAGACTAACAAAATCTTTACTAAGACTTATCATTTTCGAGGTCGTTTGTGGGGTAAATCCTATAGAACCATTGTTGCTGGTACTCAACACATGGATGGAACATGGAAACACTTGAAAAAATTCGACCTCCGTCGATGCCCCACAAAAAAAAAAACAAAAGGTGTACAAAAAAAGGTACACTTGGGCTACAGCTGGACATGGCGTCACAACGCTGCCTTGTTGCAGACTGTGGCTTCTGCGTTGCCACAAGCGCTCTGGCACCGCTAGCGTCGAGAAGAGGAAAAAACTGGAAGAGTGAACGCCGCCCTGATATGAATCGGATGGTTGAAATCATAGATTTCTAATGTTTCTTTTTTGACCCTTGAAGAGCAAAATCGAGTCACCGCGCAGGCGAAACGCAAATTTTCACTCTTGAGTCACACGCCTGCCAGTCGAAATGAATGTCCATGTTGCAAACATTTTTTGACGACTCCTCCAAATACCAGCATTTTGTCTCTTACCCTCATAAATCAGAATTTCAAATTCGTCACCCTTACAAGGGCGCCGAGTCAACCGGTTGCCTTGTTTTTGTGTGTGTGTTGTGTGAGTGTGTTGTTTGTGTGTGTTTTTTTTTTTGTGTGTTGATGTTGTTTGTGTGTTGGTGTTGTTTGTGTGTTGGTGTTGTTTGTGTGTTGGTGTTGTTTGTGTGTTGGTGTTGTTTGTGTGTTGGTGTTGTTTGTGTGTTGGTGTTGTTTCTGTGTTGGTGTTGTTTGTGTGTGTGTTGTTTGTGTGTGTGTGTTGTGTGTGTGTTGTTTTTGTGTGTGTCTTGTTTGTGTGTGTGTTGTTTTTGTGTGTGTTGTTTGTGTGTGTGTTGTTTGTGTGTGTGTGTTGTTTGTGTGTGTGTTGTTTTTTGTCTGTGTGTTGTTTGTGTGTGTTGTTTTTTTTTTGTGTGTGTGTGTTGTTTCTGCGTGTGTGTTGTTTTTGTGTGTGTGTTGTTTGTGTGTGTGTGTGTGTTGTTTGTGTGTGTTGTTTGTGTGTGTGTTGTTTTTGTGTGTGTCTTGTTTGTGTGTGTGTTGTTTTTGTGTGTGTTGTTTGTGTGTGTGTTGTTTGTGTGTGTGTGTTGTTTGTGTGTGTGTTGTTTTTTGTCTGTGTGTTGTTTGTGTGTGTTGTTTTTTTTTTGTGTGTGTGTGTTGTTTCTGCGTGTGTGTTGTTTTCAATTTGTGATCGTGCTAGGTATCGTGCTGTGTGTGTTGTTGTGGAGGTGTGTGTTGGTTTGTGTGTGTGTGGTTTTTGTGTGTGTGGGATTGGGTTGGTTTTGCTGGGGCTGGGGGGGTGGTGGGGCGGGGGGGGTGTGGGTGGAGGAGGGGTGGGGTTGTTTGGGGGAGGGGCGCGGGTGGCTTGGGTGTCGATGTGGGTTGGTTGGGGGTGGGTGTTTTGGTGGTGGGGGTGTGGTGTGTTTGTGATGGAGGGTGGTGGTGGGGTTGTATGGGGTGTGTTAGTGTGTAGGTGTGGGGGTTTTTGTGGGTGTGTGAGTTGGTGTGTTGTGTGTCGTGGTTTGTTCTGAGTTTCTTGTTGTGGTGTTTGCGGTGTGTGTCGTGATGAAGGTTGTGTTGTGATTGTGTTGTGGTTGTGTCGTGTAGCCTGTAGTGTAGGGTTAGTTGTAGTGTCCAGTGTAGTGTTGTGTACTGTTAGTGTAGGTAGTGTCGTGTCGTGTCGTGTCGTGTTGTGTTGTGTTGTGTTGTGTTGTGTTGTGTGGTGTGGTGTGGTGTGGTGTGGTGTTGTGTTGTGTTGTGTTGTGTTGGTGTTGGTGTTGGTGTTGGTGTTGGTGTTGGTGTTGGTGTTGGGTTGGGTTGGGTTGGGTTGGGTTGGGTTGTGTTGTGTTGTGTGGTGTGGTGTTGTGTTGTGTTGTGTTGTGTTGGTGTTGTGTTGGTGTTGTTTTGTGTGTGTGTGTTGTTTGTGTGTGTGTGTGTTGTGTTTGCCTCTGTGTGTTGGTGGGTTGGTGTGTTGGTGTGTTGGTGTGTTGGTGTGTTGGTTTGTTGGTGTGTTGGTTTGTTGGTTTGTTGGTTTGTTGTTTTTTTGGTTTGTTTGGTTTGTTTGTTTGTTTGCTTGCTTGCTTTCTTGCTTGTTTGTGTGTACGTGTGTACGTGTGTACGTGTGTATGTGTGTATGTATGTATGTGTGTACGTGTGTGGCGTATGTGGCGTATGTATGGTGGGATTCGCGCGATTGCTAAAGGTCATGCACTGCGTGGGCGACAATCCAACGTGCTGGACACATGCTCCAGTGATGATTCATATCGATAAAGACAGAAAAAGGAAGCAATGCAGAAAACGCAGAAAACAGACATGAAATCACATAAACAACCTGTGATCAACCTGTTCTGTCGTGTCGACAATCTTATCTCTTTTATCTCTTATTATCGATGATTTTAACCTTTTCTTTGGTAACCATAAAACGATATGGAGCTAGATCTTTTCCGGAAAAAAGACATAAAAGCAATATGTCGTGTAAAATCACCATGTCATGTAGTTGTAGTTTTCCCTGTGTTTTTCATACCTTTTTTCGAAGAAACCATGCCTTTTCATAGGTTTTTCATAGGTTTTTCCTGTTTCTTTCCATGTTTTTTGCCAGCGTTGCTCTCAACGTCGGAGCCGTTGGCGAGGCACGTGGCGTTGAGCAGCTCCAGGACTGCGGCTGGCTGCGGCCCCACGGCCTCGAAGAGCAGCTGGGGCCCCGCCGTCTTCGGCAACGACCTAAAGGCGAAAACGACAGAAGACAAATGGCGGGAATGATATATAATACTATAATATAATGATAATATAATGATAATAAGGTATATATTTAATAAACCTATATATATTATATATATATAGATATTATATATATATATATCTCTCTCATGATCATTTGATGAGGAAACCATGACATGGGAAATTGATATGGAAATATATGGAAATGATGTCAAGGGGAAGATTGGACATGTAAGAAAAATGACATATCATCATGGTTATATCATGATATTGTATGATGGTGATATTAAAGATCATATGATATCATATGTTATGCACCCGTTCGACCAGTTCATCAGTGTTCATCAATGTGCATCAATGTTTCATTTGAAGCGCAAATAAAGCCGCTGCTTAACGAAGCAACAATAATTATGGTAAAAGCGGCGACCTGGCACCTACCTCTGGCACCTGTGACTAAATTGCCTTCTTCAACAATGCTGTGAAATGTGGTTACAGTTGCGAAGTGCGAGGATCCAGTTTTGTTACTGCAAAATTTGCCGGCAATGTCAGAAGCATCAAAAGTCTCGTATCACAGTTTCCATTGGTTCAATCTGATGGACTGATGGATATGGGTTGTGTTTCTTACAGCAGCGACTTCAAAAGACAACAAAACACTCAAAACACCCTATTGATGATGCGTTTTAAGGTGTTATCTCTGTTTTCTGTGCTGTCTCCGAATCTGGATATATGCACACTATACAACAGTAACGACGACATCATTTCTCTATGATGATCTACGATTATGTATACTTTCGTTGCGAAGCAGTCACTTTTGTTGGTGCTACTAGACTGTCTTCTTTAGCGGCATGATGTGAACACTGCATGCATTGACACACTACACAAGACATCTCGAGGCTTCGTATGAACCGCAATTGACGTAGCTGGCTGGGGCGGCTGCTCCAGGAACTTTCGACACTTTTCGTTCTTTATCCTGGCGGATTGGTGCCAAGATGGGCAAAGTGTCGAAAACTGACAGACTCAAAATGCACGGTTCTTTAACCTTCAGCCAAATGAAGGGTGCTCAAGAATTCTGACCCAGTGGAATCCACGGGACAGACATCATTGGACCATGGTCTTCGGAGTGGGTCCTGGAAATGGTTTCAGAGTCCGGGAAGCCCAAATGGCTAACGATCAGATTCAACTGATGCTGCGTGTTCTTTCCCGGGAGCAACGGCTTCCGCCTCACACTCAAAAAAACAACTCGCAACAACTTACAACAACTCACAACATATATATATATGTCATTTTCTGCTAGTAAGTGATTCTGTTTGCCACCTTCACACGGAATGATGCTGAATTGAGGACATACATAAGTTAGTTCCACATGGAACGATCAACTAATTGAAAAATGCACAAGTTCCGCCGTGTAGATTGGTCATTCTCTGATTTGAAAGTGGCGCAAGTGTCTCAAGCTGTACCGATCTGTGGATTTTCCATCATCGATGTGTTTCCATCTGAAGCTCGCTAAAAAGATCTCGCCTGAGCATTTCTGCAAAGATGCAGCCTGTGCAGAGAGATCTGCCAGACTTGAGGGCCCGGAACCATCCGGAACCTCCAAAGCCTTCATACTTCAGTGGAACAAATGGAACAAGAAAACTGCAGTGGAATTTCAACTGGATGTTTCGGAATCAAAAAGATAGACAGGGAGAAATCCATAATAAGATACATCGTCATCAATTTTTCTCAGGGAACATCAAAAAGCAGCCCTGTGAAGATGAACATCCCTAAGTATGAACCAGCAGACTGGTAATCTTTCGCGTTCACATTCCGACCCACACCCCGAGTTGTGGCAGAGCCGTGGCTCCTGGCCTATGGACCACATATCGATGGCCTTGAAAGGTAGGGACGTGCAGGATGGCAGCGCCATGGAGGGTCTGACCCCATTGTTTCGATTTGTTTCGGACGTTCATAAGATGTCTTAAGATGTACTCTACATACCCAAACAATATCAAGGAACAGCATGAAGCAACTAGCATATCACAAGATTCTGAAACAAGCTGCGGAGTTGATGACAGCATCAAAATCGCAGCTCCCGGAGATCCCCCCTCAAAAACAACGTCCCTTCTGTTGGGATCACGACATTCAAGCACTCTGTAACCATATGAAATTGACCGAAATATATGTCAACCACATATTGCAACCTGAACCATATGAAATATGCAAATATTGTGAAATCATTTTTCCCAAATTTCTCGTGAGAAAGTCTCAGTGGCCATCTCAGGTGATCTCTGGGATTCCCCCACCGGGCCATAGTCGGCCCAACTGCAGAGCACCTCTGGTGCTCGATACCACCGGGTACAAACATACCTGGCGGGGACAGATGTAGACAGATGGGATTGACTCAATGCCACAAAGAAAAATCAAAAAATGCCATAAACCGGTCGAATTAGGAATGGCATCTAGTTTATGATTTGGCATCCAACCCATTTCTGCTTTGCTTGGGGATCATTTCCCTGGGTTTAGCAAACGAATAAATTGATCGTCCAAAAACATTGGGGGTGCAGCTTTAATCTTGATTCATGGAAATGATTTTGAAACCGGAACGGTCCAATGGTTGGATGTACACGATTGATGTGCTTTTTGCTTGGCGCTTCCACACGCAAGGAAGTCAAGACTCTGACCAGAATAATTAGACTCAGCATCCGACTCGGTGAGTGGCCGGCTATCGCCATTGTTCATAGCGAGCCTCGCCAACCTCAGTCATCGGTTCTTGTTCTCTGAACATGTTATCTCCTTCATCTAAGCTATCTGGATGTGTTTTCGCATTTCGTGTTGAAAATCTCCTTTAATTACCCAGCTGTATCCAACAACGCCAGCGCGTTCCAAGGCACCCATAGTCGCAGATTTTCAGGTCGCAGTTGGAGTTCACCAACAAATTTCGCGGTTTCAGATCTCAGCGGTGTTCCAAATGTATCAGCGTTTAATGGGCCTTTTGTTAGACTCGGTTTAGAACCAAACATGGTTGGAGAATCTGAGAAACACAAGTTCATTTTGGTTCATTTTGTGGGTTCGATGCAGCCCATTTTTTTCATGTTTTATCAACTTAAGCAGCATTTCGATTCAGCATTCAGCTGCTGCTATTTTCCCCAGCCTCGGTGAATCACTCCGGCGGTGTGCACAAATTTCAAACCCCGAAGGATCTGGCCGTGTTGGGCGAACGGCCAGGCGAACGGCCGTGTCAGTTGAAAGATGTTGAAATGGGTACCATGGATGTATTATGGATTTGACAAAATATGACAAAAGATGACAAAATATGTAACACCAGGACAGTTGGAAAACTGCGATACCATAGAAGCAACATCAGGTGAAGGGATACTTTCTGCTGCTGTGCTTTTTGGTAATTCTCATGCCTCAACACAGCAGTGGCTCTAACATACTTCAAACATCTTCGCCATCTCAGTTTCCACCAACACCTCCTTCAATCTCCCCATATTTTCCACTATCACAATGACCCAAGCTATGGGTATCCCATTTTTCCCGAATGCGTAGCAAGGGTTCCCGTTTCACTCTGGGGGTCTGGGGGTTGAGGGTGTGTTCGCTCGACGTTGCTCAACCGTTCGCAACCGTTCGTAACCGTCTATGGCCGTGCCTATGGTAAGTTCTGCAGAAGGGGTTTTTGGAGGTTTCAAACGTTGCGTTGCTTCGTTTCGCGTGGCAAGCGTGGCACTTCGTGACATTCAGACGTGGTCGAAAGTCGTTTTGTGTGGCAGGCGCAATACTTTTGCGACGTTTTCGCAAGATGCGTTGCAGTTTTCGCGGCAGGCGCAGCACTTCGGACGTGTTCAGCGTCATTTTGCGTGGCAGGCGCAGCACTTGCGACGTGTCGTGTTGCGTGTTTTTTGCGAATCGCATTGTCAGGGCTGGGTCAAGTGGCGACAAGGTGCAAATTCCGTGGCAGGCGTGGAATTTTGTGAGATGTGATGAAAATTGACGGAAGCCTCGCACGAAACATCGGTTTTGAGGTAGGAAATTTAGAGGTTCCTAAGAAAACTCGCAGGAAACGTCGATTTTGAAGCTACAAAGTGTCAAAATCAGAGGAAGTCTCGCACGAAATGCTCGCTTTGATGCTCCCACGTGTCTCGTCTCGAGCCTCTGATTTTCCTACGGCCTCGCCGTGTCTATGGGGGAAGCTGCAAAACATCTCCTTTTCGAAGGTTTCCAAGCAAATTGTCATGTCGTTTTGCGTGGCAAGAGCGGCACTTTGTGACATTCAGACGTGTTTTGTAACGTGGCGAAATAGTTTTGTGTGGCAGGCGCAATGCTTTCGCGGCGCTTTCGCAAGATGATTTGCAGTTTTCGTGGGAGGCGCAGCACTTTGGACGTGTTCAGCGTCATTTTGCGTGGCAGGCGCAGCACTCCAGACTCCACACTCCACACTTTACACTTCACACTCCGCACTTTACATTCCACACTTTACACTCTACACTCCACACTCTACACTTTACACTCTACACTTTACACCCTACACTTTACACTCCAAACTTGACACTTTACACTCCACACTCTACACTTTACACTCCACACTCTACACTCCACACTTTACTCCACACTTTGCACTCCACACTTTACACTCTACACTTTACACTCTACACTATATAGTCTACACTTTACACTCCACACTCCACACTTTACACTTAACTAACACGTTACACCTTACTTTTTAACACTTTACACTCCACACTCCACACTACTCTACACTTTACACTCTATACTTTACAGACTACACTTTACACGCCACACTCTACACTTTAAACTCCACACTTTACACTCCACACTTTACACTTTACACTTAACACTCTACACTTTACACGCCACACTCCACACTCTACACTTTAAACTCCACACTTTACACTCCACACTTTACACTTTACACTTAACACTCTGCACTTCACACTCCACACTCCACACCTTACACTTTACACTCCACACTTTACACTTTAACACTTTACACTCCACACTCCACACTTTACAATTTACACTTTACACTCCACACTCTACACTCCACACACCACACTTTACACACTCTAGACTTTACACTCCACACTCCACACTCTACACTCCACAGTTCACACTCTACACTCCAAACTCCACACTCCACACTCTACACTCCACACTCCACACTCTACACTTTACACTCCACACTTTACACTCCACACTCCTTACTCCACACTCCACACTCCACACTCGACACTCCACACTCTACACTTTACACTCCACACTCCACACTCTACACTTTACACTCCACACTTTACATTCCACACTTTAAACTCGACACTTTACACTCTACACTTTACATTCCACACTCCACACTCTACACTTTAGACTCCACGCTCAGCACTTTACAATTTGCACTTTACACTCCACACTCCGCACTCCATACTCCCCACTCTTCACTGTACACTCCGCACTCCACACTTTACACTCCACACTCCACACTCTACACTTTACACTCTACACTTGACAATCTACACTTTACACTCTACACTTTACACTCTACACTTGACAATCTACACTTTACACTCCACACTCCACACTCTACACTTTACACTCCACACTCCACTCTACACTTTACACTCTACACTCCTTTGTTTGCACTCCACCCTCTTCCGCAATCCACAGTCTACAGTGCACTGGTACGGTAACAGGGGAAAAATGTAGACTGTTCAAATAACTTGTTTGACAAAAGTGTTCTACGTGACTGCATTCGGGTTCGTGGGCTGCATCTTGTTTTTCCCAACTCCCATCAGCTTTTCTCTCTCAGCCTGATAGGTGAAGAATTGGCAATGCTCATCCGAGAGCGGTTGGGGGCTCTTCAAGATGGACGCCAGATCCGTCTCCATCAACTCGGAGATCACATAGATGTCCTGCTGAAAAAAAAACTCACATGCTGGCGATTTACCATACATGTTCTAGCTAGAAACATCGCATGCAGTCTGGGTTTGGGATTAGTACCTAGTGTTGCATAGTTGGTATACACGAGTCTTCCTTTCTTGAGTGTATGGTGCCCTCTGGGAAGACAGTCAGCTCGTCCTCGAAATTGGATTTCAGGCCGGGTAAGAACACATACCTCGCGGCAAGGGGGCGGGGCCAAAAAAATGCATCCACCAGTCAGCGATTGGACAATCAGAAATCAAACCCCCCATTCATCCATCTCCTCATCTCCCATTCCTGTCATAGCATAACATTGGATATTCAATGATATTCACACATTTGCAATAAAACGACTGTAATGTATCAACAACGGTAATTTACCTTGGCCACTTCAGTCGCATCTCATCCATTCTCATCCCCCCACCCAGGACCTACCGGATCTACCGGATCCACCCAGCCATCTCACCGAATGTCACCTGATGTCAATCAAATTTTCGTGCCGCAGATGTCGCAGGATCTTCAACTCCCGCAGTGTTCGCTTGGCAAAGGTGATGTCGTCGAAGGCACTCCTAGCACACCACGGTGGATTTGAAGAAAATAAAGGAACGTCTGGAGAATAGCCGCTGATAGAGACTGGTCTGTTTGTACAAAAATGCGGGAATAACCACACCAATATATGGCAACTTTCATGGGAACAGTACTTTCTCAACCATGGTATGGAAATGTATGGAATGAGGTCTTCCCAACCTTTCTTGGACAAACCGGTGCTGCGTTATGCTGCGTTATACATGTTCTAAGTAGCACCAAGGCATGCTGCTGAGCCGCTCAATCTTCTTGATCGCTACGGTGTCATCGTTCAACTCATCCTGTGGGATGCTCCCGATTCCATGATTCTGTCATGTTTGAGCCATGGGAACAAACCCATCTTTCATCATCTTTCATTCCAAACCCTTGGAACATGTTGTTTGATAAATTTTGATAACATGTACACAATCCATCACAATCCCATTCTTGAAGGCTCACAGAAATGACTTGACCATACTTGACCATACTTGACCGTACTTGACCCATTGGCCCATCCCATTTTTGGATGAGAAAAACAACGCGCCTTTGCGGAGCAAACAACGCCATAGGCACCCTGTCCCACTGCTTCTACGACCTGCAGGGACGATCCTTGACATATCTTGACATCTTCGGATATCCTTGACATATGTTGTTTTTTGCGTCCATAATTTCCAGATTGGCAATCATAAAGCTGATCAATTATGTCAATTGTCATAAAAAAAATGTCATAAAAATTGTCATAAAAAGCTACAAGATCAAAATGTGGGAGTTTCATGAGTTTCCCAACTAAGGCAAAAAACATGACCAGCAAATCCATGACTCAGAGCTAAAACCGAGCACCAGACTTTGAAGCGCCGTGGAGCCTGCAGGCTGTGACCCTGATGCAACCAACCTACCCACCATCTGTGGATATTACTTTGATATTACACATGCCTACCCAAACATGATTACACGAATGCTTGGAATCTTCACTCAAACTATGGAAGTTCTTTAAGTTCTTAACCCAACAAAATTAATTTTAAGAATCCCTTGGATCTTCTGGGGCCTGGTCGGAATCCCAGTCACCATGACAGCCCCGCAGTCCGGCTCGCAAAATCCTGATCCAATCTCGGATGGAAGCTACACAGTGCAAATTTGTGCAATAAATATATGGATCACATGAAAAAACACCTGAAAAAACATGAAAAAACCATAAGCTGCCCCAGTGTGCCACTGGTAGGCGCCATCTTTCAGGAACCACATTTTGCCAGCTATTTGGATGCTCACCGCAAAGCTAGGTTTGGAGTTTGGAGCCATACCATACCCATTGATTCAAGCCTAATTGCTCTTTTAAAAAAAAACTTCAAACAGTTCAAACCCACTAAAATCATTTCTAGATTATCAAGTGTCCACATTTCTTCAACCTCCCAAGTTACCAGGTTTTTAAGGTTTTTCCCCGTCTTTAACATGAAAGAACACCACAGCAACAACCGGATGGCCCGGGATGGCCCGGGATGGCCCGGGATGGCCCGGGATGGCCCGGGATGGCCCGGGATGGCGGAGCCATGCGCCTGGAAGCTGGAGCCCAGCACCGGTGTACTCTGCAGGTCCAACTCCAACGACTCGATGGGCATCGAAGCATCGGCGGGCGCGATCTGCTGAGCCGACAGCTGTCGGGCTGTGGATTGCCACGGGATGCCACGGGCCACACATTGACAGCAAACATCAGCAGACATTGCCATAGGGGAACCATAGGGGAACCATAGGGGAACCATAGGGGAAACACGGGGAACAAAAATCTGCCACAGGGGATACAAAAATCAAACATGTGGTGACTGTGGTGATGGTTGATGTATTTTCAGTGTAGTTTGGGGCGACTTCATCTTATGTTCTTTGAGTAGTCTGCGTGAATCATTTCACTTTATGGGGCAGTGCCAAGTGCGCACTCCTGAATGGAACCCTGTTGGCCAGCTCAATGAATCTCATCTGATTGCTGGTTTCATTAGTCCGTCAGGAAAACTAAGCTAAGGCAAAGGAAACAATGAAATGCCATCTGTGCCAGCTGGAGTGCAGCTCATCCATGAATGCGGGTAGACGCGTAGACGTATTGACATGTTTCGGCCACACAGTGGACTATTCTGCCCATCATCATTTCTATCTATCTATTATGCCACTAGCAAGCCCACTAGAAAAACAAACACTATTTGTTCACATAGTATTTAAAAAATATTTAAAAATGGTACATAAATAGTACAGGCTTAATAAGGGCTGGTCTATTCTCGTTTACGTAACCAGCTTCGTTGCTGTTTGCAAAACGACCTTTTGGACTGTCTGCGAGGTGAAACCTGGGAGGAGACGGTCATTGAATCATTGATCGTTGGCGCTGTGAGGCCCATGGAAACTCATTACCACCATAGAGGTAGCCTCGCAGCGCTTCAAGGATGCTAACTTCAAGGTTCCTTGGATGGGCTTCAAAGATCAGTCTTTGTTTTTCTCAGATGGCACAACAAGAAGGTGCGAACCTGTTGCTGACTGCGTGAAAAACATACATGTGTGTCCAAACAATCCATTCAATCCAGATGATGTTCCTTTTCAACCGGTGAACCTATGGATAGTGTTGTTCTCTTCTTTCCGCACCAATTATCATCTAAATAGGTTGTACTGTTATCATTAAGTTATTATACATTATAAAGGTCATAAGTTGTCAATATCTTCAAATCTGCCGAAAAAACATCCTACAACAAAATACGACTCCGTTCCCAGCTGTTCCCGTTCACTCGACCTCCTTGCGTCACACGTGGTGTACAGAAGGAATCCAAGTCGGGTCGTCCGGGTCGTCCGGAAGGGCAGCAGTCGAAGTCATGTCCAGTGGGGGTTCCCAGTGGACCCTGCAAGATCTCAACCTGCCAGAAGCAAAACTCAGAAACAGAACTGTCAGGGCTCTGGTGGGCTCTGGCAGGTGCGGGTGGGCATTTTTCAGTTGACTTTGACAGCATTGCTGGGATCTTTGGGATCTTTGGTGATGATTTTTGCATATTTTCGCCATCTTTGTGCCCAATCCATGTGGATCTTGAGGATCCGTAACTTGCAAATCCATTGGCTCAACTCTGACACAAAAGCCTCATGGTTGTCGATCACACACTTCTGGTCACATTCGTTCCGGCATCCGTAAAAGAAATCTTCTAACTCTCGCAGTTTGGAGCACAAATCCATGGCACCCTTGGCCGAATTCGCGGTTCACATGCATTGAAGCCCAACTGCGAAATGAAGGTGATTCAGCGAGACAGGTGCATTCAAAATTGTCCAATCTAGACAGTTCCGTGCTTCATTGCCATCAACCCACTCATCACACCAGTACCACATGTGCCGTGTAGTATCAAACTTTTGTGGTTCAAATTGGTTCAGTCTGCTCCACATCCCCGAGTTTGAACACGTTCGAATCGTTCGAAGAACAATTTTCTCCATCCGACCTGTCAACATCTTTCAACATCTGTCAACAATTTCGCAGGTTGTCTGTTCAATACCGGCACCAAACACACCAAACGTAGCACCACTTTTCACGGGCGGAGCATATCGCGGCGTCACGGTTTGGACGGTTTGCTGTCACGAACTCGTCGGATTTGGCTTTTTCACCAGATATTCACCCTCACCTTGGGCAATGATGGCGGTAGCAACTCAACAGACTGATTTCAGGGGAAAACTTAAAGGAAGCTATATTAAATTATTAATAACATTTAAAAACTAAATATAACTAATATGGTTTTCAACCTCAGATAGAGGGGATTCCTGATAGGTATCGCCGTATCGATACTATCTATGAACCACTTCTTGGACGAAACATATGAATCTGGATCCCACAAACTTGGATACAGTGCTGATGAGTTCCTTGAGATGGCAACATACTGCGATATGATTTCTGCGGACCAAATGGCTGGTGAAGGCTCAAACATATTGAGAGTATTGGGGTAAGGTGAATCCTCAGCAAAAAAATCACCAGTTTTTCTAAGTCGCATGAGTCCTCAAAATTCAGTAGTCTCCTCATTCGACGTCATCTTCTATCGCTCTGTGTTCAATTTTTCCCCAAATGGGCAAGCAGGCAGCATCCTCCTCGTGCTTTTTGGGCATCACTATATTGCAGCAAGACTACAACTACAATCACATGAAACCTCACATCTCTTGGGGCAAACATCTGGTAAGTACTAGACAACTGCCTGGTCAAACCCAGTGGTTATCAGTGAGTTGTGGCATTGATTGCCTATGAGTCTATGATAGTCTATGAGTGATCTCTTGGTTGGGACTTAAACCCAATATCCTATCAATATCCTATCAATATCCTATCAAATGGGCAAGCAGGCAGCATCCTCCTCGTGCTTTTTGGGCATCACTATATTGCAGCAAGACTACAACTACAATCACATGAAACCTCACATCTCTTGGGGCAAACATCTGGTAAGTACTAGACAACTGCCTGGTCAAACCCAGTGGTTATCAGTGAGTTGTGGCATTGATTGCCTATGAGTCTATGATAGTCTATGAGTGATCTCTTGGTTGGGACTTAAACCCAATATCCTATCAATATCCTATCAATATCCTATCAAAT